GTCTCGATGCAGTAAAAAGTACAGGCTGAGAAACAGTCTCTTCATCTCCATGAAGATGCTACTGTCAGAGTAACCAGCCTTTTGTTCTCCTTCTTACATACATAAGTAATTTTTTCAGTAGTGTGACTGATATGGGTAACAGAGAGAAACTATCTAGCTAAGTGAATACCTGAGCACAAAGGAAAAAGGGAAGCTGGTCTTATATCCTGAGGAGTCACTGTTTAGAGTTAGATTATTTCTGACTGTTCATCCAAACCAAAAACATCCCAACCAATTCATCATCACAATACATCAAAGGACCCTTTAGTATCTGCTTCCAGTGTGCTGATGCAGAGTATATACACCAAGAATAGTAATAACTTGTAAAGTTAATTAAGACTAACCAAGTTTAATTTCCAGGGAACTAAAGTGTTTAATCAAACACGTTTTCAAATGCGCATGGAAAAACCCCTGCATCTTCAACTGTTAGAAATACATGCCACCCCCACCAACGACTCCACATTCAACAGCACATATCTAATCTGTTATGGTTAATTCAACTCTCCATCCCAGCTATGTCATATTGAACCTAAACAATTGTGTCAACAGCAAAACTGACATTCATGCTACCAGTTACACAGTTGTGAAGGGATGAGATGGCTTTCAATATTTTTTTGGACCAGAAAATTGAAACTTCCTTGTCCACAAAGCCGGACAGAAATGTACTCCAAATTCTGCTTTAGGATAAAAAAAGAATTTCCTTTAAAAACTCCAGAGGCATGACTACAGGCACTACTAACATATATACAGAGCTGCTGGTTTACAGAAGCCTTCATGTGTCAGAACTGGATTGATTCAGGCTACCTACAGATACATTTTCCAGTTCACAGTCAAAATATTTCATTAAGATTAATACAGAACCAATCTCTGTCTCAAAGACAGCAAACTGGTAGTTGTCTTTTAGGAACACCTATAAATCAACCTTATTTCTCTTGGGCATAGAAGAAATTCTAATCAGAAATGCAGACATACAATTTCTAACTTGTAAAAGTATATTTTGAAAAGGGATAATGTTGAAAATTATACAATTATATCAAGTAAAAATAAGTAAAGGAAAACATTAAATACAACAATATGATGTATACCAGGACAAACAAGTCTAGCATTGGATGAACAGGTAAGTTTTAAAAAATTGACAAACAAAGCATTCAAAAAAAATTTTTCTAATTGATCTTTCTAAGGATGATACATAAGATTATGTATTCATCTCCTGCACTGATAAAGAAACCCTCCTCCTTCCATTGGAAAAAGAGATCGTATGTTAAGTAACTTCAGCTAGAGAATACCTATAAAACACACAATATGCTTTGGTTTTACTAAAACAAAGACGAGCTCCTTTCACTGAAAGGGTATTTTTTACATACAAAAGTTTTGTCCAAATATGTGGAGTCCCAGGGACTTCCTTGTATGGGGCATTTTAAGAGTAAGTTGGTTTTATCTCCATAAACTTTCACAGATCATAACAGGTAAGTGCTTTGTATGATTGATGTTACAATGTCCTTGCTGCACACAGAAAAGCCTTGGATTCTCTCAGACAAGTTTTGTCAGCTTTCCACATGTAGGTCCTTGCTATATGGATAACCAAGGTTTTTTTAAGATGTTTTGGTGGATGAAAAGCTGGACATGAGCCAGCAGTGTGCACGGGCAGCCCAGAAGCCCAACCGTATCCTGGGCTGTATCCAGAGAAGTGTGGCCAGCAGGGAAAGGGAGGGGAATCTCCCCCTCTGCTCTGCTCTTGTGAGACTCCACCTAGAGTGCTGCATCCAGCTGTGGAGCCCCCAACATCAGACGGATATTGACTGGTTGGCGCGAGTCCAGAGGAGGTCGGGAAGATGCTCCGAGGGCTGGAGCCCCTCTGCTATGGGGACAGGCTGGGAGAGTTGGGCTTGTTCAGCCTGGAGAAGAGACGTCTCCGGGGAGACCTTACTGCAGCCTTCCAGTACCTGAAGGGGCTACAAGGAAGCCGGGGGGGACTTCTTACAAGGGGCTGTAGTGACAAGACAAGGGGTAATGGGTTTAAATTGAAAGTGGGGTGATTTAGATTGGATATCAGGAAAAAATTCTTCCTGGAGAGGGTGGTGAGGGGCTGGCACAGGTTGCCCAGAGAAGCTGTGGATGCCCCATCCCTGGAAGTGTCCAAGGCCAGGCTGGATGAGGCTGTGAGCAACTTGGTCTAGCAAACCATTCCATGATTCTATGATTCTGACTCTATGTTTACATATCATGCCTCCAAGCACTTTAAGACTTGGCTGAGATCACCTCAAGTTTTATCCGAAACTTGGAACTTCTCTGACATTAAAAAGGATGTGGAGGCGGAGGGGGGAATTCTTCCTTCGTACCCTCTAGACAACGTCCAAACTACAGCTTTTTTCAGCAAAGGACAAGCCCGCTAGTCCTTAATCTGGTAGAGAACTTGGATCACTGAAGTGACCGCTTTCACTTTGAAGAGTGTCAAAAGTGATGCTGACTTTCTGACTGCAAGGAGCTACCTCTCCATCTTTGGTGGCACAATCATTCAAAGCAACTGCCAGGAAAGTCACACTGACTTTACTGTAAGCAGAGGCTCATTTTAACAACAAATGCTGTAAATATAACCAAATGCAAAATCTGACACAGAAAGAATATAGTTTATTTTAACAAGATAGGACACCCATGATCACTTCTGGCCTCAGATGTGCGTATCTGTAATGGCCTGCTCTAATAACAACCCGTTTTCATTGTTCTTCTCCAGAAGAGGACCACATTTCATAACATTGCTCCCCATTCTGTTGTTTTTTTGGGGTTTTATTTTTATAATGCTGTGTTTTTCATGCTTAGCATTTGACGTAGCTCGATGAAACAGCAGCACACAAACATCTTTTTTTCCATTTGGAAAATACCGTTTCCCTGTTCTTTATAAACTGCACATTTAGAAGAGGTAAAAAACTGAAATGTCAAATCTAGCCACCAAAGAAAAAAGACAAAAGCATTTTTTTAGATAATCCCATGGTGCATAAACTAACCAAGATCAATTTTTAAGTGTGGGGGGGGGAAGTACTGATTCTTCTGACACTTACTTCAAGATTTCAGTCTAGGTACTTTTTTGTATTTGAAATATGACACTGATTTTTCTACATGCAATTGTTTGAAAATATTTTGATGAGTAACAGTTAAACTTAAATATTGGACAAAAGCATCCTCACAGAACATTACAGATTAAGTTAAAAATCTATTTTTCCTTTTGGCAAAGCGGCTAGTGAATAGCTTAACAATAAAGTAATGCACACATTTCAGTGCTCCTGCCCATTAATTAGCCATTGATTTGAAAACGTTGATTTTCCTGATAATGGTTTTATGTGCAGTATGATCAACCTCATTAAATTCCTTTTATTTCACATGAAAAAGTGGATCACAACTTCACATTTATTTAAACAAACCCAACCAAAATCAGTATGTTGATTTTTTCCTTCATTTTGTGCTTAACGATTTTCAGTTGCTTCTGTACATAAATGGCTAGCTTGGTATATTACAGTGTGAGGTTTATAAGCTCTTTTTCAGTACAGTAAGCAATATACAGCTGTAAGCAAAATTAACTTCCTTAATAACAGCAATATTTATGTTGTTTTCACATACCCTGCAAAAGAGCTGTACAGAACACGGAGAAAGCATTTGCTATGGCCATTATAATGATGAATACACTGACCCTTATAAAGCTGAACTTAGTGTGTCTCCTGTACCCTTATCTACTAGGTAGGAAAATAAGGAATGATTAAAAAAAAGTATGGTAAACATTCAACACGTATCTCCTGAAGCTGAACTCTGGCAACATAAAGAAGAAGTAACAACCACCAAGTACTGGAAGTTTTAAAGAAAAAATTCCTTTGACTTAAGAATGTTCAGAAGCTTCTGTACATACTCCTTCACCATACTCTCCCTCAAAACTGACCAAGTGATTTCAATGACAAAAAATTAATCTATTAAAAGTATCTAATAAAAATTGTATATGACTACAGGTACAAAAGTTAAAAGTCTGTATTGTAAATGCCGCATTCCAACACCTCAGAAATCTAACAGGCTGCTACATCAACCAATTCTGTGTTGTTTAAAGTGCACCTATATAAAGCCAAGAAAGAATATTTCTTCATATACAGCTTATGTATTTCACAGTTCTACAGACTCTTTTGCTGCCTATTTAAATACAGTTTAGAAATCTCTGCACAAATATCCCATCTATTATTTAAGACAATTTATAATATTTTGGCTGAAGAAGGTTTTATTAGCTCAGTTTCTGATTTAGTAAGGTAATTAAGTGCATGACTACTTTTCGGTCCCTTGACCCCATTTCCATGTCTATCATTAGTCATTTTTGGATTAACTTATTGAACTAAGAACTTGCAGAGGAGGATCTTGAACATAGAAGAATATCAGAGCCACTCTAACATGCAGTCCAAAAAGAGCCACCAGAACAGTGCCAGTGCAGTGCCAGTCAATATTCCACAATAAGCATGTCCTCATAGAAAAGGGTGCTTGTACACAAGAACTGTCCAAAGGTGTGAAATCACAGGGTAATTCACATCTGCATCAGAGCCTTGGACATCTCTTAAGAAATCACTGAAGTGTCATACTATTAAATGGTAATGAATCACTTTTGTCACACAATGTCTTTGGAAAGATTATGGTTGACTGATAAAATAAAGCAGATTTCTTAAAGAGAAACTCTTCCTCAGTTGGGTATATTTTACTCAACTGTAATTTAATAAAAACCAACCCTAGAAATACTGCTAATATTTGACATACAGATTAAAAGGCAGCTTTTAATCTGAAAAGTATCTGAAAAGTAATCTGAAAAGATGCTTTAAGAAACACGTGAGCCTGTTAAATAGTAAGCATTTATCCTATGTGAAGAACAATCCTACTCAGTGTATTGCACACTGAGTAAAACTGGTGAGGAAGATGAAAAAGATCACTAAAGTATAAATTACCTGCAAACAGAGCATTGCCGCTGCGGCTGGAGAGCAGTGAACATCACTATCACAGAGTAGTTACGAGGTGGAGCCTTCACAAATCTTCGGAATTTGTCTCCGTTCATGCGGATGACTGAGCGCCTTGAGCTCCACTCCATCAGCTGTTCCACCTTCTCAGCCAAAAGATTCTGCAATTGAGGACAAGAATGAGGAATGTTTAAGTTTAAAGAACTTCGTAGCTATATTCTGCCTTTGCAGCCTCAGCACTCCTATGGTTTTAAGCAGGAGGCTGGGGGCACCTCCATATAGCTTATAGCACAATTTAGTCTTCCAGACTAATTATGGCCAGGAAAGCCCCTGGCAAACAAAACAAGAGAATTCCAGCTGCTCCAGTCAGCAAGCCAACGTAATCAGGGGCCCATCTTAAATGCCTCTATGCGTACACACAGAGCCTGGGGAATAGACAAGAGGAGCTAGAGGTGTGCACACACATCAGGGGCTGTGACCTCATTGGCATCGTGGAGACATGGTGGGACAGCTCCTATGACGAGTGTCAGAATGGAAGGATACAGGCTCTTTGGGAAGGACAGGCAGGGGAGACATGGAGGAGGCATTGCTCTCTATGTCAGAGGGCAGTTGGAGTATGTGGAACTCCATCTGGAGATGGATGAGGAGCTGACCGAGAGCTTATGGGTCAGGATTAAAGGGAGGACAGGGAGAGGGGATACTGTAGTAGAAGTCTGCTATAGGCCATCTGGCAAGGATGAGCAAGTGGATGAGGCCCTCTACAGAGACAGCAGCAGCCTCACACTCACAAACCCTGGTCCTCATGGGGGACTTCAACCACCCCGACACCTGTTGGAGGGACAACACGGCAGGGCACAAGCAAGCCAGGAGGTTCCTGGAATGCATCGATGACAACTTTCTTATCCAAGTGATAGAGGCGCTGACGAAGACGGATGCCATACTGGACTTTGTTCTCACGAACAGGGAGGGGCTGGTCAGGAATGTGAAGCCCAGGGGCAGGCTTGGTGGCAGCAACCATGAAATGGTGGAGTTTGAGATCCTTAAGGAGGTGAGGAGGCTGTGCAGCAAGCTCCCTACCTTAGCCTTCAGGAGACTTTAGCCTCTTCAGGGAACTGATTGGCAAGGTTCCTTGGGATGAGACCCTGGAGGGAAGAGGGACCCAAGAAAGCTGGGAAGTATTCAAGGATCTTCTTCTCAAAGCTCAGAAGTAATGCATCCCAATGAAGAGGAATTCAAGTAAAAATGCCAGGAGGCCTGTGTGGATGAAGAAGCAGCTCCTGGACAAAGTGAGGCACAAAAAGGAAGCCTACTCTTGGTGGAAGCAGGGCTAGGGAGCCTGGGAGGATTACAGGGAAGTTGTTTGAAAAGCCAGGGATCAGGTTAGAAATACTAAAGCCTTGACAGAATTAAACCTGTCCAGGGACATAAAAGGCAACAAGAAGGGCTTCTGTAAGTGCATTGATGATCAGGGAAAATGTGGGCCCTCTGTGGAAGGAAACGGGAGAGTTGGTTTCCCAGGATATGGAGAAGGCAGAGGTGCTCAATGATTTTTTTGCATCAGTCTTCACTGGCAAGGATGTGAGCCATACCCCCAGAGTCACGGAAAGCAAGGGCAGGGATTGGAAGAATGGAGATACATCCATGGTTAGAGAGGTTTGAGAACACCTGAGGAACCTGAAGGTACACAAGTCCTTGGGACCTGATGGAATACATCCGCAGGTCCTGAAAGAACTAGCAGATGAGGTTGTGAAAGCTCAATCCATCATACTTGAGAAGTCATGGCGGTCTGGTGAAGTTCCCACTGACTGAAAATGGGAAAATATAATCCCCATCTCTAAAAAGGGAAAAGAAGAGGATCCAGGGTACTACAGGACAGTCAGTCTCATTTCTGTGCCTGGCAAGATCATGGAGCAGATCCTCCTGGAAACCATGCTAAGGCACATGGAAAAATCTGAGGTGTTTGATGACAGCCAACATGGCTTCACCACGGGCAGATCGCACCTGACAAAAATGATGGCCTTCTACAACAGGGTCAGGGCCTTCCTGGATGAAATACGGGCAACTGATGTCATTTACCTGGATTGTGCAAAACGTTCGACACGCTGGAGGGAAGGGATGCCATCCAGAGGGACCTGACCAGGCTGGTAACGTGCCAGCCTCATGGAGTACAACAAGGCCAAGTGCAAGGTCCTGCACCTGGGTTGGGGCAATCCCAAGCACAAGTACAGGCTGGGTGGAGAGTGGATAGAGAGCAGCCCTGAGGAGAAGGACTTGGGGGTACTGGTTGGTGAAAAGCTGGACATGAGCTGGCAGTGCGCGCTGGCAGCCCAGAAAGCCAACCGTAACCTGGGCTATATCCAGGAAAGTGTAGCCAGCAGATAGAGGGAGGGGATTCTCCACTCTAGTGAGACCCCACCTGGAGTTCTGAGTTCAGCCTTTGAGCACTCAGCATAAGAAGGATATCAATCAATTGGAGCAACTCCAGAGGACGCCACGAAGATGCTCTGAGGGCTGGAGCCCCTCTGCTACGGGGACAGGCTGAGAGAGTTGGGCTTGTTCAGCCTGGAGAAGAGAAGGCTCCGGGGAGACCTTATTGCAGACTTCCAGTACCTGAAGGGGCTACAAGGAAGCTGGGAGGGGACTAGGTTCTGTAGTGACAGGACAAGGGGTAAGTCTTAGGTAAATAAACCTAAGACTCTTCAGAATAGGCCTTATTCAGAGAAAAGAAATAGAAACCCATGAAGTACCATTAAGGATATTAAAGCAAAAGCATGATCTTAACAGAAAAAAAAAAAAAAAAAAGAGGAAAAAAACACCCAGTTCTATTATTGCTATAAAATTTGT